GTTAGAAATGTTTCTCACTCTTCTAGTTAAAGAATGGAAACCGGCAAGATTGTGACAAGATTACTATGGCTTCGCGACGTGCAATGAAGCGCGGATTCTACTAGGGTGATTCCCTGCAAGAAAGCAAAAATTGCGTTTCTTGGCCATTCTTGCTGATAGTTGATTCCCTGCAAGAAACCAAGAAATAAGAGCAAGAATAGTCACCATAAATCAAAGAGACTTCTTGCACCAAGAAAGCAAGATCTTGCGACATTTCTTGCGCAAGATCTTGGGCAAGAAAGCCCTCGCAAGAAAGTCGACTAGGGCATACACTTACTGTTACGTCTATCGTATGTTAGCCATTTAAGCCATATCAATAATGGTGCAATGACAGCAAATGAAATATGAAGAATTGTACCAAATGGTGGTGGAAATGCTGATTTTTTTTTATATTCACTAACCAGTAGAAAACGTTGATATGCCCATTGGCTATGTGCACTATCTTGTACTCTTTGAATCGTAACACTAGAGAAACAACAACAGAAACGTTACCTTAGCTGTGTAAATGACATTACGCACAGACAACACTACTTGAACAAGGCTATTAATATATTTAACAACAAAACATTGGCTATGAAAACAAACATGATTGTTAAGATAAATGTTGTTGTACCATAGGCATCATTTGTTGCTAAGCAAGATATGAAAACATAGATGCTACAGTGATATACGAAGTCTGCTTCACTATCACTAACCTCCATACAATTCAGAATTATCTGCTTGTGATACATTCATCAACTGAACCTGACCGAACACATTCCATATACCCCAATTAAATACATTTCGTACTATATTCCAATTCCAGCCGTTATCTACTACCGTATAGGAATAATTCCCATATGGCCCACCGCCATTGCCATTCATTATGTCTGAATACCAGTTAACTTGAGTGCTTGTTGTTACCAATGCAAATGTAGAAATTGAATAAGCGAAAATAAATATTAATACGAAACAGACGAAAAATAATAAATCTTTCATCTAGAAGAGAATGGACATAAAGAAAAGGTATTCTGTGCATAGTCAAGTCCACTTACTGTCTCAAATATCATCAGTAATTTCACTCCCAAACGTTCAAATGCTGCAAACAAGTGTAACAATCTCACATACCAAAAACATAAATCGATAGCCACAAATATCCTGAAAATGTCATTTAGAACCAGAATTTTCTCAGAACTTGCGATTTCCTAACTCACTTTGAAACTTGAAATATTTGCTCGTTTACAAAAAAGCGAAGTACAAAGGCAATCAAATAAAATATTATTGCAGAGGCATCTAAAATATTCCATTTGTCCTCAGTATAATATTTCATTAAAGTAGTCCACGCCACACTGATAATGGCTCCGATAAACCGAAAGATACCTGAAACGAAGAAAGTGGTTGTAGCTATGGCAGGAATAATTGTTCACTTGTCGCTAAATGTACTCTAATAAAGAGCGTAAAGGGAACAGAAGAACGAGACATTTGTAGAAGTGCAGCCGTTCTTTTCTTAAGCGGCGAGAGGGCTTTTTAGTGTGACAGTCTGCGTACCGACAACTTTGTTTGTCGCAGACTGGATTTCTCGCTTATCAGGAAGGTGGGATTTATCAATGAATTGTATAACAATCTAACAAGCAAAAATAAAATGAGAAAGTGTTATGCAAACGGAACATTTTGTTCTCAGCAACCTAGCCATACTTCTTTAAGTTCTTCAATAATTAAACCCCAGATTAATATATGAAGGATTATTTCTGTTATCGGTATCAGAAGGTGAGAGAGACCGCTGCGTGTATCACCAGGATAAATATTTAATGGAAAATATTCTACTAATAACACATAACTGAATAAACCCAAGAATCCAATGTAAAATAACTAGAACATATACACAGAGGAAGGGAAGAAGCAAAAACATTTGATTGTGCTTCCTTTGACGCTATACTTACAATAAAGTTTGAAAAATGAAAAAACGTTCGATGACCACTATACATTACAGCCAGCTTATGAAATAGTAATTTCAACCAATACCAGCGGGGCTTATCTTTGTAAGAAAGCCTTTTGCAAAAAGAACAAGGACTCATTTTAGAAAAAGTAGCTGGTTCGAGGAATAATCATACTTGTGCTCGCCTTTTGGTTTTACATATTTATAAAAGAAGGGAACAAGTAAGGGATTATAAAATGCGAAAAATAGTTAAAAGGATAAAAAGAAAATGTGTTACAAATAAGTGGGGACGTGTGAAAGAATCTTATCAAAAGTCCCAGTGCAAACTGTCCTTTGCCATAAGTATTTACGTGTCCAAACCATTGACGGTCTAAATATTTTTGGACAGTTTTTGTTGAGATAAATCTTCGACAACGATTTTCTTCAGCTAACTGAAGTGGAGTATAACCTAGATACAATTGTGATTTTGTTGTTAATAGTTCTAAAGCAAAATCTTCATCCTCTTCGAAACATCGATCAATAATTTTTGCTGCATGTATTTCATACTCCCTGTAGATCAAAAATTAGTTATAAAAATCAGCTTATGAACGGGAACGACATAAAATTTATTACTTGTATTTCTCTACGTAGTCATCAATTGCTTCCGAATCATGTGTTAATTTAGAAGCTTTTCGATATATTTTACAGGCCATAAGTGCTGCTGTGATTGTGTTCTACAATAAAGTAGGAAGGAAGGGAAAATAAGACAATACTCTGTACGTGTTCAGCAGTGAGTTTAACTTACCGGTGTTTCGGAACATAAGAAGGTTGCCATCTCATACCGACTTGTGAATAGAGACCAAAGAAATAAATTTCGGATAAATTCTAGATAAAAAGAATGAATTGTATAAACTTCAGAGTAATTTGACGCAGAGCCTAATTTACCGTGTACTGGTACCAACGTAAAGCTAAAGTCAATGCTGTTATTTTCTTGGAACTCAACAGGCTCATGGTTTTTATAACCTTGGTTCACATGCTTTAGAGTGGCAACAACTGTTACACGATTAGCTGTAGCACAACGACATTCACTCAGATGATTACTGTCGAACCCGATGGCCAAAAATTGTCCCTTCTCTAAGTAGACATCTGAATAAGGAGTTTCAATTGTTTCTGTGGTGCCATCACTCTTTGACGTAGCCAACGGCAAGGAATATTGAGAAAGAATATTAAATTTCGTCGAATCATCCGTTGAGGATATAACGTATAATAGCATTTTTACTTCTTCTGCATGTACGCGCTGTCCAATGGACAGCTTCATTGAAACCTTACTAACATAACCATTCATGCGTGCTGAATCAGTTCTGCTAAAGGAAATGTGATCACCGACTTTCACTAGTGCGGTATCATGAAAAATGCCTTTGTCGGATGCAATGCCAATTCGATTAACATGTTTCATTGGTTTGCTAAGATCGATTGCACCATGATTGTTAGCTAATAAAAGCAGCAAAGAAGAGACAGACTGCAGGTGCATTGAGAATACAAACAAAAAGCTCACCAGGTCCCGTAGCAAACAGTTTTCTCTATAAATAATACATAAAATATTAATTTGTCACGTGTGTATTAGTGTTAGAGTACTACTGTACCTGTTCATAATCAGTTCCCTGCATGCCATGTTTTTCCAAATAGGTCGTATAATATTCATACTGTCGATCCTTCTCTTCATAATTTTCATTCTTATGCAACGGTAAGAGATCGCGATTTTTCTAAATTAAGTAAGTAGAAGAATACGACTAGAAGCGCTTGTTGGAGACGCGCATCATTTTAATTACGCAAATTAGGGACAGACCATTCAGTAATCAAGCAAAGGATCAGCTGCTCACAGCTTTTCTTCTTTCGTTTTCTAAAGAAACTCGTCACCGGAACATGTCGAGGACTACAGAGAATCGCTCAGCTACTAACTGTATACTTACTTACCACAACTAAATAAGTTTGAGTCAAGTTCAGTAGTCTTCTCACTCTATCATATGATGCACCATATTTAATTAATAAATCAGTGAATTGTACGGAATTAAGACGTAATGCATCTGCTAGTCCTTGATCTAATTCATTTTCCTAGAACACATAAGTGAAATTCAGAGATTTTGTTAACTTTTTGTGCAACCTTACTTTCCATTCCACTATTGTTTTGTCATTTAGTATACTTTTGCTAACTAGATCAAATTTATTCCAGGCCATTGCTAATCTGAGTTCTTCATTTCGACAGTTTTGTTTTCTCAGACCGTTGGCCCGGCCACTGTTTTCAATGGTCACAGCGGCGTCCGAAGATGGCTTTGCGCTATCGATTTCTGAATCGACCGGTGTTACGACGATGTTACTTTGGCAGCTAGATTGTAGAAAAAAGGCCTGTGTTTGGCTGCGAACGACAAAGTGCTTCAGAGGTTGGGGTTTGATTGAAGAAAACAAATATCTTTCTACGTTTAAAGCAAAGGTATGCAGTTTTATTGGTGTTACTTCCAAATTTTTGACAGCCTAAAACTTACCTCTCAGAAGTACTTCGAGCATGGCATCATTTAATTTATATTCATGGTGTTCCGTTCGGAACTGGAATATTTTTATAAGATAATATGCATTGGTTGACGTAATCATCTCAGCATATTCCCGTCTAATAGTTTGCGTCATTTCCGGGTTTTTCGTCTCATCGGTGAAAAACTTCAATATTTCTTTATCAGCATTGTATAGTTTATTCTCCAAGTAATATTTTGATTCTTTCCTACATAGAAAACGAACAGCAAAAAGAGTATCAGACAATATTTAGCATAACCACATAAGACGTATAGTCTCACATTAACGAAATCTTGGTTTTGGCATTGTTGAATGCTTTTACTTCACTGGTCTGAAATTCAGGTGCTGCTGCCACTTCATCATCTGACACTGGTCCTTTCCCATAAAGTTTTTCGTATTCTTCAGCAATAATATCTGCTACTCTTCCAGATTCCTAGAAGCACACACAACAAGTACAACAACAACAATGAGGACAGTATATTCTCTTTTCCAACTTACTTTAATAACGACTAGTGGTATTCCGGCTCTGATTCGTCTGCAAACACGTAGAATAGACAGTGGACCGCCGTTGGCCACTATTTGAACCATCGGCACCGTGTTAACTAAGCAAATCGAAATAAATCTCCTTCAACTCAAATGATTTTTGTGATTTACAGATGAAAAAACTTACATTGTTTTCGTGCTTCCTGTTCAATCGCAGCTAGAAACTCTCCCGTACGTCTGTTCCATTCTTTGTTATTCTGGTCCAACAGAATGAAATGTGTATGATTTGAATCCAATGATGAACCGCCTCCCGTCTCATTTTCTGACAGATATTTAGCACGATATAATATGACACGATCCGCCACATCTCTTGTGTTATCCTAAGATAAGATTGGAAATGAAATGCGTGATTGTTGACAATGGTTTTACACACAAACACACACTTACTTTTCCCACGTTTTCCAGTAGTCTAGCTTGTTCTAACTGATCAGCATCTGCAAGGTCAAACAAGTGATTAGCGCTAGATTTTTGATATACTTTAGTAGTTTGAGTTTTTAAATGACTAATATGTAGCAATCGAAAGACGTAGATACTGGAAGAACTTCGCAAAGTTTTGCTGGTTTTCAAATATGTTGTGCGAGGAATGAAATCTGTACGGCTTTCAGCTCGAATCTTTTCAGGATCTTTCTTCGGATCCTAGGCTCATAAACACATACGAATGTTGGATGCATAGGATAAAAGTCAAATTCTGGAACTATTATCGCTTTCAGCTTTCAAATGTTAATTGGTTTCGTTTAATAGAAGGATCCTCATTGGATGATGCTGTGACACTTGTACAAAACAAAATACTAGAGATTGCTAACAAAGTTGTTCCACGTAAAATAATCACTTTATCTTCGCGCGCCAAAATATGGTTTACAGGAAAACTACATAAACTATTGTATGAAGAGAATAAAGCTTTTCGTCGGTACCGTCGTACAAAGAATGAGTATAATTTACAATTATATAAAAAAATTATGAAAACATTTGAACATGAATGTAATGAAGCAAAAAAATCGTACTATCGTAAAATATCATCTGATCTCAGTACTAAATCAAAAAGATGGTGGACTCTTGTTAAAAATACTCTTGGAAGGGGAAAGCATTCGTCTGTTCCGCCTATATGTTGTATGGCTACTAGTGAACTCAAAAACGATTCAATAGGCAAAGCGAATGCTTTAAATGAATATTTCGCTTCCGTATGCACCATGAGCACTGCAGATCTGAATGATATTCCTAAAACTCTTAGAAAATCAAAAACGATGATGTCTACTTTTCTAATATCTGAGCCTGATGTATTACATTTGTTAGAAAGAATAGATTGTCATAAAGCTTCGGCGCCAGGATTATCACCTAGAATGTTGAAGGAAGCATCATCTATTGTCTGTAGTATTTTAACTCATTTGTTTAATGAATCCCTCAACCAATGCGTATTTCCATCTACATGGAAAATAGGCTATATTAATTCTATCTTTAAATCTGGTCACCAAAGTGACCCTAAAAATTATAGACCTATTACTCTGTTGCCTATTTTGTCTAAGATTCTTGAGCGTTTAGTTTTTAAAAAATTGTATGGATATCTTGTAGGGAATAATCTCATTAATAAGAACCAGTCTGGATTTAGACACCATGATTCGTGTGTCAATCAGTTGCTGTCGATTGTACATAATATATATAAAGCATTTGATGAAAAGCAATCTGTTTTCGGTGTTTTCCTTGACTTTGCCAAGGCTTTTGATACAGTTTGGCATAAGGGTCTACTGTCGAAACTTGAAGCTAAGGGAATACCACCTTTCCTTCTTCAATAGGTTGAAAGCTATCTTTTTGGTAGAAAAATTGTTACAGTTGTTGAAGGTTGTTTTTCATCAGGAAAAAATATTAATAGAGGAGTACCTCAAGGTAATGTGCTTGGTCCCTTACTATTCTTAATCTATATTGATGATCTATGTGATAACCTTGTTTGTGACATGAAATTATTCGCTGATGATGCCTCACTGTATAGGAAAGGAACTGATCTTCAACAAATGGCTTCCGATTTAAATAATGACCTAGTCATGATTGAAAAATGGTCTCAACATTGGAAATTATCTCTTAATACGTCGAAGTGTGAAGCAATGCTATTCATATTAAAACCTGTTCCTGCTGTTCTACCGCGTTTATACATTGCTAATAATCCGGTCAGGCAAACCACTGTTCATAAATACTTAGGATTGTTATTAACTATAAGGCTAGATTGGACTACGCATATTGATAATATACTGCTTAGGATCAATAAACTGATTGGACTATAAAATTGCACAGTCGTATGTTAAATCGACAAGCATTAGATGTAATTTATAAATCCTTTGTTTTTCTTATGGATGTGTTGTTTTCAGTAATACTACTGAATATAATTTACAACATCTTCAGAGCGCACAATATCGTGCAGCATTAGCTGTTACGAGTGCTATGTGTGGTAGTAGTTCCGAATCTATTCTATCTGATCTTGGCTGGCCTTGTATTCGTGATATGTTTAAGCAACACCGTATAGTTACATATCATACTATAATAGTTCGTCGAAAAACCTGATTATTTATTTGGTCTAATACCTACTCCTACTCATTCAAACTCCAATTATAACCTTCATAGTCAGTCAGCAACTGGGCCACAACTAAGTATGCCCAAATGTCGCTTAGATATGGTTAAACATTCATTTTTTTATCGTGCCTTAAGCGAATGATCTAGTCTACCTACTGATGTGTTACTTACATTGAAATTACCGATATGCAAAAACAAAATAAAAAACTGTGATAGTTAAATATCCTGTTGCAGAACATCGTATGAATGAAATACATTATTGTAGATTTCGAGTTGGCTTTAGTCAGCTAAAAGACGATTTGTATAAACGAAAATTAATATCTGATCCTTTCTGTTCATGTGGGGCTATTGAAACTAGTGAACATTTTTTCTTCCATTGTTCTCTGTATAATATTGAACGTTCCTTATTGCTTGATCAGGTATTGAAGCTATTGTCTATAGCCTCAACTATTTCTATGCCCATGCTGACGTTGCGCGATCTGCAATTATCGCACGATGAATGCGATGGCATTTATTATTCTGTGTTGCGGTATATAGATGCGACAAAGCGTTTTGCAAGTTCGGTCTGAGTAACCTTCAATTCTAGTATATCCAGCTGCCTCTTTCACCTGTTAGCAACTTCCGTTGTCTTTATTGTTATTTCTTTTTATCATTATATTTCATTTTGAACCTTTGTTTTTTAGGAAGGAATTGTACAAAGAATACCGACGCAACATCAACCCCGGAACACACAGAGCGTTATCCTCACTTTTTCATTCCCTGTCCAATTTTTCTTTTTTCTTTTGTTTCAACTTTTCTCCTTTTTTTACTTTACTATTGATCTTTTACTTGTTTTGCCTTTCCGTACTCTTGTTTATTGTTGGCAAAATTGCTCGTTTATAGTGCTACAGTGAGTCCGCGACTCTTTGCATTTATTTTTCTCTTCCTTTCTATAAAACGTTTAAAACAAGTCAAATTCACTTTTGTGTAGGCGTTAAGAAGTGTAAGAGAAAGAAGGTCGCGACCAACGTTGCTTCAGCGTCTAAAAGAATTCACTGAAAGTGTTACCTGGTAGAACATTCCAACTAAACAAACCAATTACTGGTATTTGTGATGAGGTTTTTGTGTTTTTAAATCGACATTTGGCTATCGTATCACCAACCACCTTTACTATACCCGCGCTCTGACCGTTCGTAAATATCCAGGCATCTAAACAGACAGACTCAAATCTCAACATTTTTATAACCGAGTTTATAACTAGACTTGCTCGTTGTTACAGCAGCAGCAACAAATCCACGTTGAAAATCATTATATGTTTTCGGATTTGGAAATTTAAAACTTTTTCCACCCCCTGTAACTGTAATAATTAAACTTGGTGTTTGTAATTTCCATTCGTCGATCATAAACTGTATGACTGTTTGAGCAAAAGACATCGGAGGTTTAAGTACATTTGATCCAGTTGTCGATCTTCGACTCTTAGAAGTATTCAGTGGCTGCTCGAGAGATGTTTGACAAGGAAGAACTGACTGTTCCGTTGGATTAATAGGTTCTAGTTGTACAATTGTAGGTGCTGATGGACGTTCTGACGAAGTCACTAGAATATCTGGAACTGTTGGTTGGGAATGAGTGTGCTCTGTAGGTTTCTTGTCACGATTGGTGTTATCTCTAGGTAATTCTGTCTGCTCCGGTGGAAGTCCAATTCGAATATACTAAGTTTTGAAAAATAAAGAAATAGAGGGCTCTTGTAAGCCTTAGAAAAAGAATAGCTTTAAGTTAGAATAATCGGACCTATATGCAACGAATTAGCACATTCGCGGTCATCACTTACCCATGATTTTCGATCATTATCGGCAAACTGAAGTTGTCCATAATCTTTAACCCTAGAACAGAAAGACGTAGAAACAGTTAGTTGTTGTGTAAGTAAGTTAGCATATTTTTGAATCTTACTTTGAGCCTTCTGAGCCGGATTGTTCATTATATTTCGTAACCCACTTAAAATGAGTAGAAATAAAATTTAATTCGAAGAATGTGATGCTCCAGAGTCATTCAAAACGCGTCGGTAGACCAACAGACAAGAAATCTTTAACTAACTTTTTATTAAAACTTGGACGTTCACTATGAACGTGACTCTAGCAGAAAGAACAATATACGCACTTCGTTAAGACTGTCAAGAATTTTGTCATCATCTGATTTCACGGCAGCTATGTTTTTGTTTCCCATTTTATTCGTGAATGATAACGTAGTGTAGTGTTGCAGCTTCTCAGGTCGAAAAAATGTTAAGCAATTACAGAAGGCAATTCGTCTAACTTGAAAGCCGATGAATTATGCAGTGATTCAGAGCAAACTGTTCTGTGTGGATTAACCCACAAAACGTCATTTTTATTACAGCGTATAAGTTACTATAGTTTCAAATAAATAAATAAATACAGCTTGTTCTTTTTCTCATTCTTTCTTCAAAGACCACTAAGTGCAGAAAAATTTGATTTAATTTTCTTGAACAGAATTGTACAAAACTGTAAATTAAGGGTACCCCTCTCTTTTTGGACTTTCTATAAAAATGCTGTAAAATAAAAACAAAAAGTGACTAAGATTTCATACTTTCAGAACTAATTGAAAACTCAATAGAGCACGTTCTTGTTTCAAGTTTTTAACTATCGCCGTATACCAGTTTTCCAGAAAACTCGTTTTCTCATTGTGTCACATTACGAACCCTCTTAAATGTCATCTGATCGACGTCCGAAAAACCAAATTTGTCAATTTTAGAAACCCTATAAGTCGATTAAGACAGTCTAAAATATAATTCCCAAAAGCACCTCTGCGCTATGGCCTTGAGTACCTCTGGTAAAATTTTTAAGTCGATTTAAGAGGGGATCGTAATGTGACACAATGAAAAAACGAGTTTTCTGGAAAACTGTGAATGGCAATAGTTAGAAACTTGAAACGAAAACAAAAAGGTGCTCCATTGAGTTTCCAATCAGTTCTGAAAGTATGAGGCCTTAGCCACTTTTAGTTTTTATTTCATAGCCTTTCCATGGAAAGCCCAAAATGAGGGGAGGGTTACCCTTAAAAAAATTAAAAAAGTGTTCCCTTGAAAAGATTTCACATCACCGTTCATTCCATGGTGACGAAGTATGCGGGAAGGACAGAAGAAGAAGAAGAAAATTCGTTGCCGTTCGAAATGTTTACACTATTGCTTTTACTACAAATTATTCTTGTCCGTTTCTCTTGGTATGAGCAATAAACCACTTTTTTTGAGTGAATTCTTCGTTGTGGTAAAAACACAGAAATATATTGACGTAGACCCAAACAGAATGGAATAAATTATTTTTTGAATAACTTTTTAGCAAAAATAGCCTTGCGGTTTTCACCATTCGACAGCGTGACACGACATTACCGCGAACGACGTTACCGAGAACGACATTACCGCGAACGACATTACTGCGAATACAAAAAACGACATTACCGCGAATACAAAAAACGACATTACAGTGAACGACGTTACCGCGAAGACTCGTTTATTGGAAAAGAAGAATAAATGAGCCTGGTTTTGTACTTTGTATATCATGTGGAGGGAGGTGGGAGGTGGGGAGAGGGCATTGTGAGAGTGAGTTTGAAAAGTATTTTCACATAAAACATATTATCGTAATGGGAAGCTAGATATCTGTGGCTGTATCAGATAATGACTAGTCACCACATAACGTCAGTTAAGTTTGAAAACATGATGTACAAAATACAAAACCGGCCTCATTTATTCGGCTTTTCGAACAAACAAGTCTTCGCGGTAATGTCGTTCTCTGTATTCGCGGTAATGTCGCTGTATCATTCGACAGAGGACAGTTTAGAAAGTAGACCTATGTAAAAATTCGGGCTCCGACATCACGTTCACCATCACGTTACACTGCATGAGAAAAAGGTCAAATGCCCATTGGTCCTAAATAGATATCGATCTCAAGGTTTTATACTGAGGAAACGTTCATTTTATTTGTGGCTTTAGGTCACAAATAAAATTCTTGCTTAGTCAATTAATGCGAACAATCACTTTTTCAAATATTACTGCTGAAGGGTGATGTTTCTGAGTTTTTTCCATGAAACAACAAGGCACAGATATAACAACTGGATGAAAGATATTGTTCCACACATTATTTCCTATACGATCTGTAATTTTTGACACTTCTGTGCCCTCTTTTTCGTTTTCTACATTGGTTTTTTCGCTCAGCGGTACCACTACCTATCATTTAGATGCGTTGTATTAACCTGTTGTAATAATCTGTGCGACTCTGTAAAAGTAATCTCACATCATTCTTCGGGATATATTTCTCATTTTCCATTCGTAATAAATAAACTATTACCAATGGTATTCAACCAAAAGAAAAATGTGATAGCTAAATAACATTCTATATTATTAGAGTTCATGGATCGTGCTTCATTAATTTTTTGAATTGAGCCAAGAAAATCATCTTCAGTTAAAAAACCACGTAACTCTGATGGATATCTCAGGGTCAAATAATATATTCGAATTGGACTTCCACCGGAGCAGACAGAATTACCTAGAGATAACACCAATCGTGACAAGAAACCTACAGAGCACACTCATTCCCAACCAACAGTTCCAGATATTCTAGTGACTTCGTCAG